GCTTGCCTGTTTTTGTTCTTGTAATCATCGGATGAGATAACTGCTGTGGGATAGTAGATTCAGAATTAGTATTAGAGTGATTAATAGATGCAGGTAATGTAGGTGATGGTATTAACGCTGGATTAATAGAAGAGTTATTGGTCGGAATAAAAGGTTGGTGAGTTCTGTTTGTAGCAGCAGCCGAATTCGGCACAAGAAGCAATGGTGGAAGATCAGTTGATGAGCCCTCTTTCTTGTCTTCCTTCAGGCTGAACAGAAATACTTTTTCTTGAAATGTAACGTGCCTGGAGAATGAAATTTGATTAGTAAGCATGTCCAAGCACTTATACCCTTTATACGTATCTGAGCAACCGAACATAACACACGGTTTTGTGTTTGGTTGGAACTTGTGGTGAGTATGAGGAGGCAACAGTGGATAGGCAGCACATCCAAAAGTCCTAAGATGGTTGTATTCTGGTTGGTTCGATGCACAAGTTCAAATGGAGTAGATGGAGACGTAGTGGTGGATGGCATCCGATTTATAAGATACACCGATGTCATCACAGCTTCTGGCTAATGCTTAAAAGGAACGGACGCAGTCTTCAAGAGTGTCCTGGCTGTTTCTATGATATGTCGGTGCTTGCGTTCCGCAACACCGTTTTGTTCGGGTGTATATGGACAAGATACCTGGTGACAAATACCTTGATCTACAATAAATTGAGAGAACTGCTTGTTAATAAATTCTGTACCTCCGTCGGTTCGAAGGGTTTTAATGTTATGCGATGTGTATTTTTCAACTTGGTTTTTAAACGTGACAAAGGTTTGAAAAACTTCAGATTTTTGTCGTAGCGGAAAAAGCCAAGTAAAACGACTAAAGTCATCAATAAAAATAACATAGTATCGATAACCTTGAACAGAATCTACTGGGGCCGGGCCCCAAACATCAGAATGAATCAAAGATAAAATGGTGTTCATTCTAGTGTTAGATTTTGGAAACGAAAGTTTATGTCCTTTTGATAATTTGCAAGAATTGCAAGAAATAGAGCTAATTGAAATGTTCAAACTAGGATTACAATGAGCTATAGTTTTTAACGTATGTAAATTTGGATGCCCCAAACGATCATGCCAAGGTAGTTTGCTATTAGTTGTAGCCAGTGCCACACTTGGAGCTGTCGGATTTGCGGAGCGTATGGGATATAATCCTCGATCACACGGGCCTTGAAGAAGCACCTGTTGAGTCTTCAAATCCTTAAATTTAAAACCAGAGGGATCAAAGATTATCTCAATGTTGTTATCTTTTGTAAGTCTTGAAATAGAAAGTAAATTAAATTTTAGAGCCGGTGTGTGTAAAATCTGAGATAAAGAAAGCTTACTGGAGGGAGTCGGTAACAAGCCGTTGCCGGTATTGGCAATGTTGACCGATCTCCCATCACCTGAGATGATGTATATCTGTCCTCTGTTGCATCCACTGACAAATACATAGAAATGGTTATGCAAGATGTCTTTACAAACCCTGCACTTTCCAAGCTATTATGCATGTTTTTTTATGCTTAATTTTTGATAGACAGTTTAATCGAAGAAGGATGAGTAAAAAATTTTTATAGTGATATTTTGTTGTTGTTAAAAATGGGTTCTATTTATAGATCATGCTTGAATTGGTTGGTGCAAGGCAAAACATAAAACATAACCTTGGTGAATTAGTTTTGTTGGAATAAAAAATTTAAATCTGGTTAACTATTTGGAATAAAAATGTATCAATTGCTCCCCTCATCTGTATCAATTGCTCCCCTCATCTCAATAGAAAATGCATTATTTAGTACTTGTTTTGTGATTACTGATTAGTCAGTTTTCTTATTTTCCTTTTTCAATAATGTTTCCGTGTAGTCAAATGGCTAGTGCAATGTGTATGTGTGTGTATATATATGTGTATACACTAGCAAAAAGTTGCTCAAATGTACAAGAGAAATGACTAATTAGAAAGCTTCACAAAAGAGAAAATGTTTTCTTAAATAATTATTGAAAAATATAAGAATCATATAAACTTTATTATAAAAGAAAAAGCAATTGAAAAAAAAAAGTCAAGATATCCTGGTATACATTGTATTTGGAAGGCTTTGAAAGCCATTGGATTTGTTTGAGATTTGTGTTGCATATGAGTAGTTTGTATTGAACTAATCTTAAAGTAAATCTAATGATTTTTACGTCCTTCCTGTAATAATTTCTATCAAGATATCCTTACATAATTTTTATTTAAAGCAATATACATGTTGATAAAATTACTTTTATAAAATAAGATCAAATATTTAATGGTGAATAGCTTAATGTTTTGTAGATTCTTATATACATTATGTACAATAGAGCTTGTATTTCTTATGATACCTTTATTTTTTTAGACAGTTTCATGCATGCTCCTCTAACATTTAAAATTAACACTCTTCTATCTCTATTTGTTGAACTCCAACCCAAATATCAAAACTTTGAATGATTTGATTGTGCATTTTGTACAAATACATGGGTTTGATAGTTTGTTATTTTTGTATGGGTGGAAGTTTTTTAATAAGGTTGAATTCATGAATTTGTGTAATTATCCTTATTTTAATTGTTTTTAAAATTAAAAATATTTCAAATAGACACAAAAAATAGATGGTCATAATTTTGTTTACTTTCATATAATATAAATATAATTGATTTAAGTCTATTTATTAATATAATAATAATAATAATTTGTTTAATGTAATTTATTATTTTAATTTGAATTATTTTATTGTGTCAATAATAAATTATTTTTAATTTATTTATTTATCATAAGTTCTGTACATGTACTAAATGTAGTAAGTTATGTATGTTACATTAATATGTACTATCTAAATGTAGTAAGTTATGTATGTTACATTAATATGTACTATTATTAATATACTTAATATTTTCATAACTTATTATGTATTTTATAGATAATCATTGAAAATTTAACTATTGTTTAGTTAACTTTTATATGTTAATGACTACATTTCAGGAAAAAAATTTGTGCCAAAATATTATGTTGCAAAACACATTAAGATGTTGGCTTCATAGCCCTTGGATTTGTGTTGAGATTAGTGTATATATCATATGCAATATTAAACTCAACGTAAGTCTGAGGTCTTTAATCCCATCCTCATGCATTTTGTATCAATATATCATAACACACAATTTTTTCTACACAACAACAATACGCCTTCATCCCACTACATATGGTTGCTACATGAATCCTTTTTCTCCACTGTGTACTATTAAGTGTCGACCATAGAAAAAAAAGTCATTTTAATATTTTCTAATCAAGTCTTTTTAGGCTTACCTTTACCCTTCTTAATATATGCTAGATCTAATACATCTGTTGTACCAATAGGGTCATCAAAAGGTCAACGTTTTATGTGACCAATCCATCTAAGGCGACTCTCTCTAATCTTATCTGCTGCTGGACCTGTATTTTATATAAATATGATTTCTTAGTACAAAAGTATGAGATGTTTGTTAAATAACTTTAGTTATGATAAATATATTTGTCCCATCTTATTACATTGTTTATAAACATAGATATATTATGATTGACATGTTGGATTTAGATTATAGTAAGAAAAATGATCATAGCTTATCTATGATGCATGGACACAAACACGACACCGACACGGGACAAGGTTTTTTGTGAAAATATAGGACACGAGTACGACGTGGATATGACATTACATTTTTTATGTTGTGTATATATATTACTATAACATCATATCAGAAATGACAAACAATAATAAATGAATGGCATGATAACTTGTTTAGCTTATAATATAAAATATTTAGTACAAAATGTCTAGTACAATCACAAAAATATAAATAAATAACCATTTACTACATCATTAAGCATTTAAGCACTCAAGCTTCAACTAATAGGATTAGCTTCAGAGGTTTGTTTTTGGCCTTCAATATCATCATCATTGAATATCATTGCTTTCAACTCTGGTTCATCAAGAGAAAGATTTATTGTAGTTCATTGGATATCATATAATGAAAGTTGGTTCTTCTTTGTATCTATTTACTTCTCTAGTTCGCTAGTTCTCTCTTATAATATTTCTTTAACCTTTAATCTAAATCACAAAGAATGTATCTATTTACTTTTCTATTTCTCTCCCATAATAGTTCATTGAATATCATATATTAATCTTTATTATGTTAATCTTAAATCTTTTATGTTCTAAATATTTTCTATATCATTCTAACTTTTCACCTATTTCAACAAATCCCATTAACTAGAATTACAATAATGCAGGCACATAAAGATCTTCCAGACATAATCAAAATTTTTCTTATTCCATATCACTAAAAATTGCAAACATCGGTAGGCATAAAGGTTTTCAATAATCATTACTGCCTCTCAAAAAAAAAAAGAAAAAAGAAAGATTCATTCTTTAATAATCATGCCTTTCAATGATCGTATTGATGCATATTCGAACAAATGTGATGTTTTCTTTGATTCAGTAAATATAAAAATATAAAAACTTTATAATTTTAAATAATTTTATCATAAAACATTAGGACACGCATGTCCCAGTCATGTCTGACACGTGTCCCAGCCGTTCGGTTTAAATTTAAACATTATTTTAATCGGACAGGTGCCTGCCGTGTCCGACATTGCATTCTCTCTTCAAGAGGTGTGTCGGTGCATCATAGTAGCATATATAAGATTTTTGAGAACTTTTTAGACTAAATCAACCTAGCCTAGCCACACTTGAACTACGTTACCCTAACTAGTGCATCTTCTACATGGATGCATTTGGCATGCTTTAGCTGCTTATGCACCTCCTCTTTAACAATACGTCTTCTTCATTCTTTCATGTGTACTTAGACTTAGGGAGAAACCACAAGGTGCTACAAGAGTCTTGTAGGTTCAGTTCTTTAGTGGTTGAAAAAGTTTATGAAGCCATTTCCCATGTAAGATTTTGGAGTCTTGTTGATGTCTTAGAAGCTTGTTGTTGGCACTAAAACATTCTTCGATGGACACAAAACATTCACTTGATGTGGTTCATAGAGCTGATGGCTACCACATTTCATTGGAAAAGATTGTAAAAAAAAATCTCTTACAAATTGAGTGAGAAATTTTAAAAGCCCTAAATATTAGGTTACAATCTCAGGGATATAGTAGGGGGCAACAATGGAAAGAAAGAAAGCAATATATACATACATTTATAGGATGTGCAAATCATGGTTCTCGCAATTGAATTTTGATATTATCACCTTCAAATGGAAGATCAAAACTGCACATTCTCTTTAAAGTCATTAAAATAGGTGATTTATGCGCAACTTTGATTATCTTTAAAATTTTTTGATTTGATGAATTAAAATTTCATAATGGATGAGTCTAATTGCATATGAATATATGATGATATAATTGATATTTCAAATTGTAGAGACCTTCACATGACTTGTAATCAAATCCATGGATTGTTGATGATATCTTGATAATATTAGATAATTTTGATTGGTGGAATACATGTGTCAAACTAAATTTTTAATAGGGCCTCTATATATTGTTTGTTCATCATCACATTTTTTAATTTTTATATCCCTGATGAATGGTTAAATCATCTCGAAATTTGATGAAACTCGATTGATATGTAATTCGTATGTTGTAGATTTCAATCAATGGTGTGATCTTAAATTTGAAGGTTATATGAATTTGTTAATGTAAAAGAGAATTATACAGAGAAGTTTGAAGGTTGTGTGAATTAGTAAATGTTAAAATAGAATTACATAGAGAAAGATAATTATTTTCTCCTAGGAGGAGAAAGCACATTATATATATATATATATATATATATACCGCCCGCCAGGCTCGCACCGCGCGCGACCGCTGCCAGCTTCCCCCGCGCGACTGCTGCCGGCTGCCGCGCGACCGAAACGGCGAAACCCGCGCGCGATCGAAACCCTTGCGCGACTGAAACAGGCGCTTGACTGAAGTGGGTTCGGGTCAACCCGAACCCGACCCGAACCCGAAGCGGGTCGGGTTCGGGTCCAGAAAATTGACCCGTTTGCAAAAACGGGTCAAGCCGACCCGAACCCGAACAGTGTCGGGTCAATTTCGGGTTTGACCCGAACCCGACCCGTGACCCAAAATTGACACCCCTGATATTAGTGCTTCCTGGGTGAATGTTAGTGTTGAATATCAATCCTATTATGTTAACTAAGTAATGCCATTGTTTCTAACAGTGTTGAATGCAACGTGTAGAGTTTCTTTTATCATCTATGGGCTTCCCTTTTAAGTTTGTTCTGGTTAATACATTAACCTGTTGTGCTTGTGGAATTTTTGGATTTCACCTGTTTAGGTTTAGAAATAGTACCTTGTTTTGTCTGTTCCGATTGAAAGCCTCCTCTGCCTTATATTATTCGTAGCAAATGTTATGCCCTTTTTACCTTTGAAAGCAACTCATTGATTACTTCAGGCTATTCTCTTAGCTCCGTTTCCATTTCTAGCATAAAATAAAAAATTGCTTCTCACTTTTCTTCCTTCTATTTCAATGAAGTTACAAGCTGCACAATTTGGTGTAATTTTACATTGATACAAAATCGTAATTTGTATAGACTGAGAAATGTGGATCGGGCTTAGTCACAGATGAAGACATGAGACAAGGAGATTTTGTGATTGAATATGTTGGGGAAGGTGATGCCTCCTTTTATAAATGCATTTCTGTGGATGATTAATTGCAAAATTATCATATGAACATGATCTTTAGAATTATATCTTTGCCTTCTAATCGCATTATGAAATGAAACAATGTTTTAACCTCTTTCTTCCCCTCTTCTTCCATTTTCAGTTATTGACGACAAAACATGTGAGGAAAGGCTTTGGAAGATGAAGCACTGTCGGGAGACTAACTTCTATCTCTGCGAGATTAATCGTGATATGGTTATTGATGCCACATACAAAGGAAATAAATCTAGATTTATAAATCACAGCTGCCAACCTAATACTGAGATGCAAAAATGGTTATTACAAATTAACCTTGTTTCCTCAGTTAATTTTCATGGTAATTAGTATCCTTATGTAATTTCTTTCATAGGACAATTGAGGGCGAGACACGAATTGGCATATTTGCAACTCGTGACATAGAGAAGGGAGAGGAATTGACTTATGATTATCAGTATGTTCTGTAATGTTCCGCAGAATAAGTCTGCCACTTTATAGAGCACTTCTTTTTTTGATGAACAGAATATGCTTACTATGTTTTCCTGTCGAACTTCACATTGATTTCTGTTTTATATTGCCTACGATTCCCCATTCCCTGTTGCTTGCTATTTTCTTAAGAAAGCTATAAGCCTGAAATATTTTACAGGTTTGTACAATTTGGAGCAGATCAAAATTGCTATTGTGGTGCCAAGGGCTGCAGACAAAAGTTAGGAAACAGACCTAGTAAGCTGAAATTCTCTTCAGATGCTGCTTTGCAGCTAGTACTTTATGAGATGGCAGCCACATCTCCCACTAAGAATGCAGTTTTTCATGAAAAATATGTAAGCCCTTTATTATATTGCATGACACGAACTTAAAATGATTTCATTTCTAACTAAATTCTAAAATACCTTGGCCTTTTTGTATACGCCGCTTGCATGCATCAGAACTTTCTCTTTTAACAAATTGGTTATTGGAGATTTGTTGCTTATTAAAGTGATTTTCCATTTACTAAAGTAGTAGGATTTTAGGTCTTTTTCCAAACGAAGATTTCTGAAGATGGATTTTGGGAAGTTAAAGGGATAATAGAGGTTTTATTGATTGTAGCCCTCTAGTTGAGGCTCAATCATCACGTTATGGTTCTCAATCAACACCCAGCCATTGTGAAATTTTTATTTTATTCATGGGGATAGAAACTCCTGCAGCTAGAATTTTTCCTAGATACAAAAAATGCAGGAAAACTATTTGTTGGACAAAACCTTTAATCTATAAAATTGGCTAAGCTGACCTCAGAGTGCCATCTCTTTTATGGTAGAAATCAATATTTTTTATTTTTATTTTATTTTTTTTCTGTATAAGATGACGAGTTTGAAATAGTTAGAATAGTTTTTTTAACACCAAAGAAGAGCTGAAGGTAGGGTATATTTGAACATATTTCTAGTTAATCACCTGGATTTTCTGGTAACTAAACTCTAAATAAGTCTTATAATTAATTCATAAATGGTGGTTAGATTTTTATGATGAATTTTTATATATTCGTTGTCACACTCCGAGTCCCGAAGGTGATACATTCCGGTAACATAGGATGTGATGTGTGGATATGACAATTTGTTTTGTATTCACAAGAAGGAGAGTTCACATACAAATAATATAAACATAACATATTAGAGTAAACAATGGAAGATAAATAGAAGTTTTATTTCATTATTATGAACCCAAATAGTAGTACATCAACAAAGTAGAAACAACTACATGTGAAAAGAGAAGTGAAAGAAACAACTATAGAAAAAAGAAAGGTACGAACAATGACCTACTACAAAACACAAAATACCAAATATACGCACATATATGATATTTATTGATTTAGAGAAAGCATATGATAAAGTTCCAAGAGAAGTGCTATGGAGAGTTCTAGAAAAGAAAGGGGTTAATAATGCTTATATTCTACTATTCAAGTCATTAGGGATATGTATGCAAGAGCTATATTACTTGTGTTCAAACACAAGATGGTTTGACAAAGTATTTATCTATTTCAGTTGGACTACATCAAAGATTAGCCTTAAGCCCTTATCTTTTTGCTTTAGTCATGGATGTTCTCACTAGACATTTGCAAGAGGATGTACCTTGGTATATGCTTTTTGCTGACGATATTTTTCTTGTTGATTTCTTGTTGATAAGACTAGAGAGGGAGTTGAAGATAAACTTGAATTATGGCAGTCAACCTTAGATTCTAAAGGTTTTCGTTTAAGTAGATCTAAAACCGAATACATGGAGTGTAATTTTAGTAGTTATAGATCTAGTGGGGGGTTTGTGACTTTGAGTGACCAAGTCATTAATAAGTGTACTCGTTTTAGATATCTTGGGTCTATTGTTCAGAGTGATGGTGAAATAGATGGGGTTATTATTAGTAGAATTCAAGTTGGATGGTTGAAGCGGAGGAATGTTTCGGGGTTTGTTGAGTGGTGATAAAAAAGTACCAGTCAAACTTAAGGGAAAATTTTATAAGATGGTGGTGAGACCTACAATGCTTTATGACGTAGAATGTTGTCCATTAAAAGAGAAGCATAATATTAAGTTAAATGTTGCTTAGATGAGGATGCTCAGGTGGATGAGTGGTTTTTCTCTTAGAGACAGGATACGAAACAAGCATATACTTGAAAAGGTTGGAGTAGTTCTAGTGACAAATAAGATTAGAGAGAGTTGCCTTAGATAGTCTTGTCATGTAAAATGGAGCCTTCTGATGACCCTATTAGGAGAGTAGATGTATTAGATTTGGCCTATGTTAAGAAAGATAGAGGTTGATTTAAAAAGACTTGGTTATAAAATAGTAGAAATGACATTTCTTTATTAGATTTAAACGAGTATTTTACTCTTTACGGGACACAAAGGAGAAAAATGATTCATTTAGCCAACCCCATGTAGTGGGATAAAGGCTTGATGTTGTTATATATATATATATATATATATATATATATATATATATATATATCTGTGTGTGTGTAACTCCTATCTATTAAAATTTAAACGAAAAGGAGATGAGGAATATAGTATGAACAATAAAAAATTTAGGAGTGACTATATAATAAATGTAATAGATAATTAATGTATCAATACAACAATGCAACATGTTATAATTCCTATGACAGATTCTAGTATGGAAATATTACAAAATGTATATCTCAAACGGTCATTAATTCAATTTTATTCAAAAATACGTACATACAATCAGGCTAAGTATCATTGAACCTCGATATGACATATTAGTCTTTCATTGCTTTCAGCAGTCTTTCATTGCTTTCAGCTCATTTTATGCATTTATTGGGATAGGAAATGTTTTATTAGAAACATAAATCATAATTATTACATGTAGGCATTTAATTTTGTTTGAAACTCCAAACTCTCTTAATAATAGCTTGAGTTTCAATCAACTCAAAATTAAAATAATTTTCCTTCTACTCAAAATTTGCTCGCTAGAAATTAGTCCTTCAACTCAATTCATATAAAGTGTACTGATTTAAGTGCATTCTTATCCATATACCATAAGGTCTATATATATATAATACGAATTTCAAAATTATTTCTTAAAACTAAGAAACTTGGCTCAGATCAACAAAAAAATTGATTCATAATCGATCATTTTTTCCTTGACTCCAACTTAAACTCAATTTGATATTGAAATTTCAATTTAGAGTTGAGACCAGAATGATCAAACTCTAATTGTATACCAAATCTGATTGTTCGTAACGAACTCTACTTAATTAAAAAATTATCCTTAAAAATAAGGGTTTAGTTTTTCTTTGTGTACATGTGTCGAATTGTATCCTACATTAATTTGTTTAAAATGCTTTAAACCTTTAGTGATTTGGATGTGCCAGAAGTCCAGAACAACTACTATGTTGGTTATATGCTTCACTAGTTTAGAGTACTCGCATTGATAAGGAAAGACCTGCCTGAACTTTTGCTTGGTTGCTCCCATATCAATGAACTTTCTTTACAAGTTCGTTTAGCTTTTTAACGTATCAAAATGCATGAATCGTTCAATCGGCATATGGTAGCCGTGTGATTTGATTAGCTTGGTTCAAAATCCAGTTCTATGTTATTTGAATTTAGTAAATATATTTTTAATTTTCTTACAAAGCTTTTAAAGTTTTAGAGATTTCACACCAGTTGTGTGTCAATCTCTTGCCGTGATAGAGCAATTAATTTAATAATTTTGTATAGTCCGATATCTAGCTCAATGAGGTCTTTATTGCCAAATCCCATTAATAGGTAGTTTTTATGAATATCATCTCAGCAGAGATACTACTGTTTAAAGTAACTTTGTGTTCACGTTAAGTTCCTTATTGCAGAAGTTTACCAACAAATTATGTTCTACAGTTCGAGCAAGTGTATAATATAATCATGAGTTGACAATTGTACTCTTGGTCTAAACTTATTTGGGCAATAATGTGGAACTTATTCTGAATTTTACTGAAAAATGATGACTTATGGCGTTTGCTACCAAGCTAGCTACTTAATGGCAAGCTAATGTAATCTTGGAGTAACTTTGGACGAGTTACAAATAGAACGCTAATGCAACAATTTTATGGTTGTGGTTGCCAAGTGCCAATGAGAGGATATGACTCGCTTATTATCAAGTGTGGTCAGCAATGATGCATTCCAAATAAGCATCTGGGGGCATTCTGCCACTTAGAAGTAGAAGCATTATGTGACTAATGTGTAGTTGATTACAATTTAAAATCATTTATACGTTCTAGATGTCATCATATCAGTTGTTAAGATCATCCACTCTTTTTTTTTATCCATCTATGTTTTCTCCTTGAATTGTCTCAATTTTGAGATCTCCCTGGAGTGTGTAAGAACCAAATCTGGCAATGTTGCTTGCAGGATTTTGCGAGTGGAAAATCTAGCATGGGTAAGTAAATCATCACCAGTTAAAATGAGCAAGTTTCCACCACCGAAATCCATTGTTGAAGAGCATGATTTGTAGCTTAACCGTAGTTATTATGGTTGAGAAGGTTGTAATAATTCTATTTTTCTGTTCTTTAATCATGCTAAGTTGAACCATTTATGGTAATGCAGGAAATTCAGAGAGTATTATTCCATTTAAAAAGAAGACAACTTCTCAAAATTGTATTTGGGAAATCGTGCGAATTTGGTGCCCACGGAATAAAAGGTATGCTCATGTTTTAATTCACATATTCTGAAGTAGTATTGAACTTAATGGATGGGTTCGGCTTATTAAGTTGCACAGTTTACATGATGCAGTAATTTTATTGTATCTGCTCCTTCAAGCTAAAATAGCTATAATAGTAGGAAAACATATATAGCGATCTCAATTTAATTTTATGAAATGCCCATTTTTCCCCTAGTTGCTTGGTGGACCGTATGAAACTTTTAACACATTTGCATGAGGATCCCTTCGTTGATTCGTCTTCCTATAATCAACATAGGCGTTTGGAGCATAGTGGTCTTCAAGTATACCAATCTCTTAACTGGGTTACTTTTCAGCCCACTAACCAATAGTTTTGGCTCCCTCCCCCACCCTCACTATGCAAAACTTTTGCCCTCCGCACCCACCCCACTCGGTAGTATGAAAAATGAGTTAGGGATCTTCCTCCATTTAAAATCTACTTTTCCTCCTTATAGTGCAATCACCACCTTTACTAGAGCTGCATTGCATTGTTGATCGTAGGAGATATTTGGACCAAGATCGCCTCATTTTGTTTCCTTTAGTATTGATTAAGACATAGATCTCATGCCATTATACCTGTTATACCTTTAGATATTGTCATAGATGGAGACTTCCTTGCTTTACTCCCTTGGGCTATCCAAAACGTTGTTATTACAGGCCTTATACTCAACCTAAGCTTTATGATGGTGTTATATCCATTGAGAGCTCCTGTATTACATATTATAAGCACCATTTATTCTCTCTTTTTCAAGTCACCCATTCATTTTAGCGGGTAACAATTATTTCTCAAAGTGGTTTTAAAGTTCGAGTTAGAGAAGCCAAAGTTTTTGTTGACGTTTTTTTCGTCTTGACTTGATCCAAATCGAGTCGAATCGGACTCGATCAGGTTCAATTGAACACGATCAATTAAATTGAGCCATGTCAAACCCAAAATCAACTCAAATCGGCACCGATTGGAGCTCAATTTTGTCAAATTGAGTCGATCAAGCCAAATCTGATTCGAATCGACCCAAATCGTTTTAAATCGAGTTCGATTCAGACTCAATTTCAGCACAATTTTTCTAAGTTAAGCTCCAATTAACTTTTAAACTCAATTCAAATCATTTCTAAATAAGAAAGAATTCAACGGCTCTAATTGTGTTGAAAATCACTCCATGCGTGCGCTGTATTTTGGTTAAATCCCGTATGGCAAAGGATAACGCGCAGATCGTTCCAATTCGACGAAATCAAGCGCCTTGGGGGATTCGTCCTGCTGTTTCATGCGGTTTTGTACAGTCGAGTGGGGCGTGAGAGGGAGAACAGGTTTCCTTCTTCATTTTGGCTCTTACTGCTCGGGCTTTTGGGGCGGAGTCGAACAAAAACAAGAGTGAGAGTCTTATTATTCTGTGTGGACTTCGAATGCAAAGAACCGTCCAGATTGTTGCGTATTTACTACGTATTTTAAAATACACGATAAGTACTCAATATATAGAAAATCAACAAAATTAAGCAATTACTCAATAAATAGTCAGCAAAAACTCATCAATTACTCACTAAATACTTAACAAATACTCACAACTGAGGATTTGTTGAGTATTTGCTGTGTATCTATAAATACCCAGTAAATACGCAACAAATACGAACGGACCTCTGCAATCGAAGTACATACAGAATAATTTCTCTTTCGGCTGTGTGCGGACAGAGGTGTCGAGCGGAACTTCTTCCTTGGAGCGGCTTGCCTAGAAGAGAAATTATTCTGTGCGGAGTCCGGACTGGAAGAACCGTCTGGATTGCTGCGTATTTACTGAGTATTTGCTAAGTATTTGTAAATACTAAGCAAATACTCAGTAAATGTGCAGTAAATCAACAAATACTCATAAAATACTCACAAAATACTCGACAAATCCTTACAAAAATTAAGTAATACTCACAACTGAATATTTGCTGAGTATTTATTGAGTATTTGCAAATACACAGTAAATACTCATTAAATACGCAGAAAATCCGGACGTTCTCCCTGTCCAGACTCCGCACCTAATAATTTTCTCCAAATGAGAGAGGGAGGTGCGACCTCGACTTTCATTTCTTCCATCCAATTCATAAGAGAGGAAGGAGCGGAGTCGAGAGGGAGTATCTCTGGTTAGTGCGTGTTCTTATCCCAGACGAAATAGAGGTAGGTCAGAGGGAGCCTGCGTTCGGCTCTTGCGTGCATCAACCCGATCTAGAGGGAGATGAGTGCCAAGAGCTGCTGCACCTGCTTGCGATTCAAGAGAGAAATTGGGCGGTTCACGTTCATGTGTGCCTGAGAATCGGATCAAACAACTGAGCGGCATATTCCATACGTGTGGTTTGGGATGATCGAGGTAGCGACCTGAGTGTTGAATTGCTTGAGAAGTCTTTCCCATTTATCGTAGGTGTTCGGCTGAAGCAAGGTGTCGGTCCAGAATTTCTTCTCTGCTGTTGTTCATGAAGTTGAGTGGGAAAGCTGTGGAAGAGTTTGGAGGCCAACGACCTCATGTAGGAACCTTCTTCTTCCTCTCCCTTCAACTTCTCCAAGCTTGTGACAACGGAGACGACATCTAAGAGCATTCAAACAGTGGAAATAGCAGTTCGGAGCATTTTTGGACTGCAAACTCACCTTCCTTTCCTCCATTTCTCGCCTTTGCAAGGCGAGTTGATATCCAGTCACGCCGCGACTTGAACCGGTGAGGTAAAATCCCTTAAAACTTAGAAAATCCTAGGTCTTTAAGCTGTTGATGTGTGTTTGACGCTCCAAACTCCCTAGGTCCATAAAAACCTTGCATTTCGTTTTCTAAAATTCCAAAATATCTGTCCAATTTGCAAACCCATGAAAATTTGTTGATTTGTCATGGGTTGCTCTCATATGTTAGCCCGTAGGGGATGGCAATGCGCATAAATTCGTTGGATTGGTATCTAACACCTCCCAAATGCACGTAAGAGCATTCATATTGTGCCTTACACCTTTTGCCTACGACCAATCCTTAAGTGTTGTTATTTAATTCCAATTCAAATGTCAATATTTAGGCTTTAAGTGTTTTGAGTTACATTGTTTATGTCATGACACAATTGACATGGGATGTAGGATCTCACCCTCATTTGCTAGGATTGTTGTTCATTTGAAACTTGCAAAGGTCATGAAGATATTCATTTAATTTCAAATGCTTGTAAAGCAAATTTGGGGGTATTCAATGGACCCTCAAAGGCCCATATGTTATACCCAATCCCTCCTTTTGGAATTATGTGAGTTTATTCATGCTATTTTTTTTAAAGTTGAAATGGCTACATAAAATGGCGAGCAATCCAAGCATGTAAGAATGTTCATAAACTTGCAATTCATCCAAATTTCATGCACCTTTCTTTCAATTATAGAGCACGACAAAAGTGATTTACATTGTGCAAGAAGTATGCATATGTTGAAGTTTGTAAATTTCTCTGGGATTTTGTAAGTACTTGAACATAAATTTAATCAACTTGTAAGCGCTAAACCATTGTGAGATTTCCCATGATCCTTCTGACGTCTATATTGCAAATCCCACAAACGATATCTTTGATTAAGTGATGCATCGCTTAGGCCAAATCACATGCTAAGAGTTAGAATCATCAAAGTAATTAGAATTTCAACCGATGCAAATTAAGTAGATGTTCAATAGAATCCCTAGGTTAACAATGAGATTAGAAAACATAAAAAATCAAAACTCAAATCCTACATTTACTAAGCGAAGGCAGGGAGCTTGGCACGACTCCTTGTGCTTGAATCACAACCTACAAGAGCAGAGGATTAGAAGAGAATTTGAATAGGGGAAAAAGTTCACCCTCGTCGTGGAACGGAAGGGATTTGCCACTGAACGTTGGCAAGCTGCTCTTCAATTGCTTCGGACAAAGTGAAGATGATTCGATCCAGGTATTCTTCGGCAGAATTGTCTATTTCCGGGTTAATCGGAGAATGTCGACGTTTCCTTGCTCGTTGTAGACGAAGCCGGAGTCAAGGTCCGGATCAGCCATACATCGATTCGGTAGGGTTGAAGTGTTAGAGATGAAGGTCTTTTGATGCTATCAAGGATTTATGTACTTTTTATTTTGTTTGAACAATAGTATATTTTGTTTTCTATTTTATTATCTTTTCTTTTTTAGCTATCCAATGATGGGAAAGCATCCAATGATCATGGTAGGAAGTGCATATGGCTTGGTAGACCTTTGGTTTGCTAGCTCGATTGGTCCCTGGCTGCTGGTGGTTCTCGGTTCCAAGGTTGGTGGGTGATTCGCTTCCCTCTCCAAGTGATTTCTCTCCAAACCTCTCAAGCTCTCGCAAGAACTCAATATTCAGAAATTTTCATAATTTATTCATTAATTTCAAAGGAAACCTAAGGGGCTATATATAGCCTCATACAATGCACGAAAAAATAAAAAAGACGACTTGGTTCGTAGGGCTTACACATGACAACCCTTAAGGGGTAAAAAGGGAAAAAAAAAAACAACTAAAATAAAACAATTACATATGAGGACTCAAAAATAGATCGGCGCGATCGTGGCAGTAGATCGGCGACCATGCCTTTGATAAACTTTCCATGCTCTGATGCCCCTATCATTAAGTTTTGTATACAACGCTTTGGGAAATGGATGCCTTGGATTGCTAAAATCTCCTAAAATGATGAATCACCTACACATGGATACACTTCTAGGTTTTCTAGATCATATTAAATTGATTTTAAAATCTCTTAGAACTTATAGGAATCAATCTTCCCTCTCTAAATGAGCCGAGAACATTCTAAAATAAAATATAGGAGCTCTTTTTTAGGAGTTTTCCCTTTCTTGTGCATGATGTTTAGACTTCCCTAAAATTCTAAATGTATCGTGTCATAAGTTCATTGGGCTTTAGGACCAAGCTTTAAGTCTCCTCCATTTGTTGAGACACAAAATACCGTAAACTTTTCTTCTCTATCATGTATGATGACTTGAAGTTTCTCAAGACTTCATATATATCA